ATAGCACTCTGGCCTTCAACTTTGATTCTCTCTGAACTTCCCAAAACTTCCCAGAAACCCTCTACATCTCTGCCTCTCTCTCTCTCATCTTCTTTCTTTCTCTCTCATCTTCTTTCGTTCTCCTTCTCGCTTTTCTCTTGTTTCCGTGCTTCTTGCACATCATGGAAGGAACCGCCACTGCGGCCACCGAACAGAGACCTGACTGGCTGCTTTACTTTGAGGTGTGGTTTCTCAATCTGCTCGACCGCCTCCGCCAGACTGAAAGAAGTTGGGACGACGGATATCCACTGGCGTCTCTCAAACAAGATTTCCGCTTCGAGACTGGCTTCGAAATCGATCACCAAGCGCTCGGCTTCGAAAACTTGAGAGGATTCATTATCCGCGGTTACTCTCGCATCTGTACGGTGGAGACGGTCGGCCGTGGAAGGAATCAAAGGCTGATCATCCGCCCCATCAAGGCTCCTATCGGTCACATTTCTCCGGCCGCCGAGTTCTTCTGTGTCTTACTTTTTGCTGTCGCAGTCGGTTTGTGCGCTTTTTTCATCATCAAAAACATTCTTCCGGCTATGTAGGCGGCCTCTGATGATTGTTTCTTTAATTTCCGCGAGATCTTAGGCTAGGCTAGGCTCATTAGGCTAGGCTTGGCTTATTAGGCTGGGCTTGGCTTAGGGTTTGTATTACTTTCCGCGAGGTCAAGAAGGTGCATGCATGGTGAGGAGATATAGTGATTGTATAGGACTTCTTGACACATTGGTATTTTTTAGAATCTTGATGTAATAATAATCCAATACAAAAATAATAAAAGAAGAATTTACGTTTTACTTAGTGGGTAATGATTGTGTCTTCTCATGATAAACCGTCTATTTGTTTAAAGATTTCCAAATTAGATTCTAGAAATAGTTGACAGATATATTCCTGATCATGATCAGGCAGTAAGAAGTTGAAACACCGAGCTGTTTTCAGAAAACCCTCAGGACGCCACGAAGCGCGACCAATCCCGTCTTCTTGTACAGGGAGAAGCGAGGAGAGCGTAGATTACGCCACGGAGGTTGAGTTTTGCTTGCAACTGCCATGTAATTATCAACAGCGGCTCTCCAAGAAGGCATATGTACTCGACGAAACCAAAGATGATCTAGTGTCACTAAATGTCTTTCGGAAGTTTGGATTTCGAATAATTGTGATTTTGTTTGGAGGAGATCATCGTATGCTAAGATGTTTCGATGAGCCTGCGGTAAGTAACCCATGGAAGAGTGAGGATTAGCAATGTTAACAACATAATTAACAAGCAGAAGCAAGTAAATATAGCTTGAAAAACTGCAGCAGAAAATACAGTCAAGAAACTTTCCTTGTATGCTTTCTTGTAATATATGTATCACATGTAAGATGCTTTAATGAAATTCTCGAATTTAATGTTCATATTTGGGAATTTTGTAAGTCTTTAGGGGCATAAAAAAAAGTTCAGGGAAGGGAAGGGGGAGCCTGGATTGCCCTGAGTTGGAGGAGGACTTGAGGAGTGTAACTGTGTAAGTCTGAGAATCGAAATCAACAGGAGAGGAGAATAGGTTTTTTGTTTTAACGAATTTACAAAAGCACCCTTAGTTAACAGAAGGTAACGAGTTTGCGTGTTCACGCGAGACCAACTAGAAAAAACGAGTGATCAACAAGTCCAATTTTATATTGAATGCATAGCGTAGCTAGGACCTTCAAATCATGTTTGAGCTTATGCTCAAACCGCATTTTTTACGAGAAAAATAAATGAAAAGGGATTGAAAACTTTATATTTTAACGATAAGGATAAAATAAAGGGTAAAATAAATAGTACCAGAATTGACTTTTTAGTATAAAAATATGATTTTTCGTTAAAGTGAATAGGACCGGAGTTTTTCGTTAAAGTTCATTTTTTTATAAGGTGGAATGTTAACAACTTGATCCGTTAAGTCTCCTCCCAAATGTAGATTTAAATGGGTGGGCTGGATCGGGTTAATGGGTTGGGTTGAAATTGCCACCCATAGGGGAGGGTATGGATTTTGGCGCGAGAGTTCGGTTCATTAGTTACAGGTTCTATTTGTACCAATTAAATCTCTCTTCCTACCCAATCCCAATATATTTTCAAGTTCCTATTTTACCCCTGCAGACAAAAGCTGAGTGTTATTGGACAGCGACTTCCGTTAACATGTTAGGCGGTTGACTTCCGTTGATAAGTTTGTTAGAGGCGGTTTTAACCGATCAGTGTAATGTGAGAGTGAGAGAGAGAGAGAGAGAGAGAGTGAGTGGGAGTGAGTGAGTTGGAGAGAGAGAATATATATATAGCAGTTACATAGCTAGTTCATTTCTTCATAGTTCTTCATAGCACACTGGCCCTTCAACTTTAATCCTCTCTCAATTTCCCAAAACTTCCCAAAAACCCTCTAGATATCTGCCTTCTTCTCTCTCTCTCTCTCTCTCTCTCTCTTTCTCTCTCATATCTTCTTTCCTTATCTTTATCGCTTTCTCTTCTTTCCGTGCTTCTTGCACATCATGGAAGCCACCGCCACTGCGGCCACCGTACCGGTACCTGAATGGCTGCTTTACTTTGAGGCGTGGTTGCTCAGTCTGCTCAACCGACTCCCGGGGACTGAAAGAAGTTGGGCCGACGGTGACGGATATCCACTGGCGTCTCTCAAACAAGATTTCCGTTTCCAGACCGGCCTTGAAATCGATCACCAAGCGCTCGGCTTCGACAACTTGGGGGAATTCATTGCCAGCAGTTATTCACACCTGTGTACGTTGGAGACGGTCGGTGATGCAAGGAATCGAAGGCCGATCGTCCGCCCCATCAAGACTCCTACCCGTTTCATTTCTCCGGCGATCGAGGCCTACTGTGTCGTATTTTTCGCTATCGCAGTCGGTCTGTGCGTTGTTTACATCATTGACAACATTCATCGGGCTGAATAGGAGGCCTGTGATATTGTTTCTTTAATTTCCGCGAGATCTTAGGCTTGGCTTAGGGTTTGTTGTATTTTCCGCGAGGTCAAGAAGGTGCATGCATGGTGAGGAGATATATTGATTGTATAGGACTTGTTGACACATTGGTACTTTTTAGAATCTTAATGTAATAAATCCAATACAATAATGTTAACAAAAGAAGAATTTACGTTTTACTTCATGGATAATCCTTGTGTCTCCCCATGATGAAACGTCGAATTATCAACATTGGCTTTCCAAGAATGGCATACTCGGAAGACACCGTAGATGATCAAGTATCCCTAAACGTCTTTCTGAAGTTTGACTTTCGAATAATTGTGTGTTTTGTTCGGAGGAGATCATCGTCTGGTTATATGTTTCGATCATCGCGATCAGCTTGCGGTAAGTAAACCATGGAAGAGTGAGGATAAGTAATGTTAACAACATAATTAACAAGCAGAAGGAAAGCAAATATAACTTGAAAAACTGCAGCAGAAAATACAACCAAGAAACCTTCCTTGTATGCCAAGAAATCTTTCTTGTAATGAAGGTATCCACATGACTGGCCGCGAAGCTAATCGGCACATATATTCAACGTCAAAAAAGATCATCTCCAAAATCTCAAATCAATTTCATCTCGATCGACCTTTTGAGATTGTTGACTTTGCAGGCCTGTTGAGATTCGTATCTTGTCACTTTTTTATGCATAGTTGAAGTTTTTCACTCGTTCGATATGATGTGATCTATAAATTGTAAATAAGAGGGTTTCTCCAAATCTAATAAACTTCAAAACCAGCATTCTAAAGACCTGATTAATCTAAAGAAACTATGTTTAAATTTAAATGATACGTATCATTCAATAATACAAGCGTTTTAACTTTTAACCGTTATATCTAACTTCATAAATATTAAATCGTTTGTTTTCAATTACAATCACATCATAGATTCATAGGTATTATTGAAGCAAAATCCAGGAAAATAAGGTAGTGTTTGGTGCTTTGAATTTACTTAGACACCACCTAAAGGAGAAAAGCATTGACTCGAAACACAGCCTTCAACTAAAAAGAGGAGTCAGATTTGGGAAAAGTGCACGTGCTTTTCCAGGTGGGTCCGTGTGTGCTCGTGGGAACCCGTGAGTGTGAGCATAACCTTTAAAATGACTGAACTACCCCTACAATATGACTAAAATATCATTAATGTGATAATATAAGTAATTTTCGTATTAACTAATAAATACTTTAAACTCTAATTACATGTTTACTTCTCTCAAATTTTCAATCGATGCTCACACGATATCAAGAATTTGACTCCTAAAGAAATGAATTGAGTTCTTGAGCAGGGGGAGTAGCATTCTAATTGCTCGAGAAAAAAGATTTTTCTGAGATGATTCTCTACCACAATTTCTTCAGTTTCTTCCTCATGTTGTTCAAAATCGTTGATTAATTACCATGATCATTGAGGAACTTTTTTATTAATTTTTTTATTCTAATAGATATTTTTAATCATTTTATCTTTGGAAACAGTTCTAGTTGCATCAAATAATAATTTTAAAATTTTGATTCAATCTTGCGAATCAATTCTTACTTGTCGTGTTCTGTAACTAAAAAAGTCTCTTAAAATTTACATTGTTGTGTGTCATTTCGATTTCATTTTTCGTGCTCATTGTACACTTACGCTATTTTTAAAACTTCAAATTTACTTAATTTTAACCAATAATAATTTATTTAAAACATGAACTTTTAATAGTTTGATTCAGACTCACGTGCAATAGTAAAACAACTTATGTGAAGTTAATATTTAGACCCTTTTTTATAGACTCTAAATTTTGACTCGCTCAATTGTCCTTAATTCATTGGAAGGTCAATTACCTAAGGAAAATTGTCCTTCTCTTTGCAATCAAGTTCACAACCCCCTCCGATTCCTCTTTTTTTTTTTATCTAACTATTTAACCCATTAATATTTATCCGTCTCTTTGTGAAGATGCATACAAATAATCGAGGGGCATTAATGTCATTACAAGGATGGTCAAACACAAGGGAACCCCGAGCTTGATTCGAAGCCGCTCAGTCTGCGCGCCATTGCATTTCCTTCTCCCCCTATTTCTCTGCTCTGTCTCTCTCTCGCATCCTAATACAATAATCCAATAATCCATCCACACTAAAAATTCTCCACCATTTTTCTTATCTTTCCCAAAATCATGGGGTCTCTCAAGTTCCTTTCAGATTAGCTCCACCATTTTTCCATCAGGTTTTTATATCTATACATTTTTATATACGATTATATTTCTTTCTGCGCATAAATTTATTGGGAATCTCAAGAAAAAAAATGGATCAAATCGGCTGATCAAGTGTTTGATGTGAAAATTTGATGTAAAATGTTCTGTGGTCGTTAATGTACACATGCACGCTGTTTGATGAATTTGGTTTTCTGGGTTATTGTTGCTTGAATTTTTGAAATTTTACTTGAATACTATGTAACCTGGAATTATAGAATTTGGGTTTTCTTGGAAAAAATCATATTTTTACTTTTTTTGTTTGTAATATTTTATTGTAAAATCAAACAATTTGAAGTGAAGATTTCTCCTTTCAGTCCCTTGCAAAGCAAGGTAAGCCTCCGTACAATAGACGTTCGCTACACCCTCGCAAGCGGGAAGCTTTGTTGGCTTCGGTCGCCTTTTTTTACTCATTAATTTGATGAAATAAGTTTTCTGTGTTTATTTTTTAAATTTTACTTGTAATTGAAAATTGTGGAACTTAAATTGTAGAACCTGGGTTTCGTTGGTACAACGTCATTTATTTATGTTTATGTTTTTATGTGCCTGGTATCTTGGTAAAGATCAAAACTTTGAATTCCTTGCAGGAAGAGATGAATACAATTTCATTGCCTGAAATGGCAGTTGGGGTTATTCACCGCTGCCCCATTGCATCTTCAGGTCTACATTGCAAGTATGATACGAGTTTATGCAGCCTGGGGCTTCGCCCTCTTGTCTTCAGAACTAATTCGAACAGAAAAAAGTGTGTAATTTCTCTCCACTGATGCTCATGTGAATTTGTAATTTCATTTCTGTATTGTTTGTTGACATTTTACTATGTTTCCTTCTTTTACGTGAGGCGGAAACTGTTGCAAGTTATGTGAAGGCTGCGTTTTCAATATCATGACCAAAATGAAATTCGTGCAGGAACCTTTTCTGCACGCCGCATTGGTTATGTAAATCAAGAACAAATATTTTTTCAAGCATGGTAATGTCTTTTCATGTTAAAGGAATGATGTATCTCTCCTCATAGTATTCACGGTTTTTGCGACTCATGGCTTCTGATTTTTATGACAGGATGATTCCAATGACACTTTTACCGACGTGTTTGATACTTCAGGAAGTAGTGAAGTGTTGAATATAGAAGAAGATGAATTAATCACAGCTAGAAATGGTCTTTTGGAGGCCCAAGCTAAACAAGAAGCCACTGAGAAAGAGAGAGATCAATTGCTTGAAGAGTTGGCCTGTTCCGAGGGAAAAGAACATGAATATGTTGCTAGCATATTGCACGACAAGGAATTGGCTATTGCAGAACTCGAGGCAGCCAAGTCGCGGTTCCATCAGAAGCTGCGGGAATCTGTTGAAGAGAAGTTCAGCTTAGAATCTAAGTTAGTTCTTGCAAAACAGGATGCAGTTGAACTTGCGGTACAAGTAGAAAAGTTAGCGGAAATTGCTTTCCAGCAGGCCACATCTCACATTCTAGAAGATGCCCAGATGAGGGTTTCAGCAGCAGAAACTACAGCTGCTGAAGCAGCTTATCAGATCGAAAAACAAATTAAGGAGGTGACAGAAGGTAGTATATTGTCAATTGTGGAACAGTCAAAACTTGCAATAGAGAAGGCACTGGATGTGGCGGAAAAAGCTGGTGAGCATGCATCAAAAGCAGTATTAGAATATACTGAAGGTATGAGTCCACTGGATGAGCTTGCTTCCCTCCAGTCAAAAAATATGATGTTACAGGGTGCCGTAAATGATTTAGAATCTCAGTCGTTGCTTACAAGAAGTGACATTGATAGGTTGAAGTTGGAGTTGGAAAAGGCCCATGCACATGCAAATGCGTTTGAGCTCCGAGCTAATGATGCTGAGAAATCATTGCTTGAATTTCAGGAATCAAGCAGGAAAAATACTCTCCAGAAAGAGGAGGAAATTATGTCTTTGTTGGAGAAAATGAAGAAAGATTCATCAGAAAGAAAGACGTCTTCTTCCAAGGCTTTCAAGGCTGAGTTGCAAAGCATTATGGATGCTATTGGTGCTGCCAAAGAAATGGCACGTTCGAAGGATGACGCATACTTGAGAAGATGTGAAGCACTGCAAAGATCATTGAAGGCATCTGAAGCTACTACAAAGATGTGGAGACAGAGAGGAGAAATGGCAGAATCATTGTTGTTGAAGGAAAGACCGCTGGGTGATGGGGATGAAGATTCCATTTATGTTGTTAATGGTGGACGGATAGATCTTTTGACAGATGATGATTCACTGAAATGGAAACTTTTAAGTGATGGTCCTCGCCGAGAGATACCTCAATGGATGGCTAGGAAAATTCGTACTATCCGTCCCAGGTTCCCACCAAGAAAGATTGATGTAGCTGAAGCCTCCAGTTCAAAGTTCAGATCTTTGAACTTGCCCAAACCTGATGAAGTATGGTCTATAGCTCAGGAAAAGCCAAAGGAGGGTGATACACTTATTGAGCATGTGCGTGAGAAAGAAACAATAGAAAAGAAACGAAAAGCTTTGGAGCACGTTCTTCAGAGGAAGACCATACAATGGCAGAGCACTGAGGAACAAACAAAGTTAGGTTAGTTTTCTTGTATTCGCAAAATTGCTAATGTTACCGAGAAAACATGTGTCCCAATTCCCAAACAAGGCCTGTATCTGACTTGAAATTGTGCATTGACTTCAATGCAGAGCCAGGAACTGGAACCGGACATGAAATCGTGGTATGTATTTTCATACCCGTTGGTTGAAACTTGAAATACCAATATGTCATCCCAATTGTAGTGAAGATTGGTTATGCAAGACTAGATTTTCAAGTTTTTCCCCTAAAGGTTTTCAAGTTTACTTCGATCAAAATGCTCCTGCTCTCTCTCTCTCTCTCTCTCTCCCGCTCCTTCTCCCTCCCTCCCTATATTTGATTGTTTTACACGGGATAAAGATGCAATTCCTAGATTGTTTCTTCTACCGACTGTTTATTCTATTGCTTTTGAAGTTTCAAGGCTTCAATTGGGAAAGCTGGAGAAGGCAGTGGTACCTGGACTTAGCTCCTAAAGCTGCTGATTTATCAAAAATTGGGGTAACGGCAGTGTGGTTGCCACCACCAACAGAATCTGTTGCTCCTCAAGGTTCATCTCTTCCTCGTCCACTTTGTTTTTTTTTTATCTGTCTTGTAATCGAATTTAAATATAGCAAGATTAATGCCTTTTTTAGATATTCCTGTGCATGCATATAATCATTCTGGATGGCAATGATACCGTTTAGGTGTTATTAACAATGTTGCACTCCTAACAACTTATCTTGTCTGAAGTACATTTCTTTTGTTTATGTTCTTAATATTTGTATTGTGTTAACATGTCCCCTGCATGTGTGTGTTTATCTGTAGAAATATACTTAGGACCTGCATTAGTATATTTGGTGGCATTAAAACATGATTTGATGAAGTTTGCGGCTCTTCAATAATTGTACAGAATTTGTAACCAATATGAATGTCCTGCAGGTTATATGCCTTCTGACCTGTACAATTTGAACTCATCGTATGGTACCGTGGATGAACTTAAACACTGCATTCAGGAAATGCATTCCCACGATCTTCTGGTATGTATAATCTTAGGCATCGAAGGTCAATTCTTGAACTATTTAATGGGTTTTTTTGTTTGATAAGAGGTTTCCTTTATTATTCTTTTGTTCTCTTTGTTCAAAAAAGTAAAAGTTGTTAAGAAGGTGAATTTGGCTCGTCATAGGCTCAAAACAGAAATCGTTTTTGGATAATCAAATCATGGGGCCAAGTGAGAATGATGCCGTGGATATGTATAGGAATATTATCTGCTTTAATTTTTTTCTGTTTGATTATCATGTGAATAGTCGTGTTGGATTAGTAACGTATTTTTACTGCGAGCAGGCCCTGGGAGATGTTGTCCTAAATCATAGATGTGCACATAAACAGGTAAACACTTGATTTACTGTTCCTGTTTCAAAACTTTAGGGTATTTTATGACATTAGATCATTATTTTCATGTTGCATGCTCGGTTGGTCATATGTGTTGTCACTCCTCTTGGTAAAACTCACATTCTTGCCGATTTCAGAGTCCAAATGGCATTTGGAACATTTTTGGTGGGAAGCTTGCTTGGGGGCCTGAAGCAATTGTTTGTGATGATCCAAATTTTCAGGGCCAAGGAAATCCTTCAAGTGGTACTTTATTTTTTCTTTGATTGTTGTTTGAATTTTATGATCCTTGGAAGGGTTCATCGTTTTGATTGTTTTAGAATCCCTTCCAATCGACTTTATGATTAAGATGGAAAGGGTGAGAGTCTATAAGACATAATCTACGCTTCACTTCTGGTCTTGATTGTTTGGTCTAGTTTACCTAAAACAGTTCAGACCTGAACAAGACATGATATTTACCACCCCACATCAGTGTGGGAATGTTGGGATAACCTCATGAATTTTACCAGTATATGCATGTCTTAGAGGCTGCCGAAATTTTAAGCTTACCCGTGTGCTCATCTGCTGTTAATGCTGTGTGTAGGGGATATATTCCATGCAGCACCCAATATTGATCATTCGAAGGACTTTGTAAGAAATGACATAAAGGAGTTGCTAAATTGGCTTCGAAGTGATATTGGTTTTGATGGATGGCGCCTTGACTTCGTAAGGTGAAAGTGCTTTCTTTTTGGGGGCGGGGCGAAGGCCCAAGGTCTTTTCTTAGTTTGACCCAATGTGCAGATGTCTGAAATCTTTAGAAATTTCTTTCTCCTTTTAATCTATAGCATGTGATTAACTCCTTTTGTATTGTTCCAGAGGCTTTTCGGGTACCTATGTAAAAGAATATATTGAAGCTTCGGTTCCTGCATTTGCTATTGGAGAATATTGGGACAGCTTAGATTATGAAAATGGAAATTTGTGTTACAATCAAGGTATGAACTTGTGAACCCTAGACTTGAATTTATAACGTTGAACAAGAAGATAGAACAATAACAAAGAAGATAACCACAATATTGTTAACTGCGAGATTCTATTATATGCCTCCTTAACTTAGTAAAACTCCTTTGTGGCCAGAAGCAACGATATGATTACTGTTTTTCTTAGCACGGTGAACTTAACAAAAAAAATTAACTTTTCTGGTTCTGTAGATGCTCACCGGCAACGAATTGTTAATTGGATCAATGCCACAGGCGGTACTTCCTCTGCATTTGATGTCACAACAAAGGTACTTGCTAGACTGCATCTGCTACTTCCTACATTAGTTTGACTCACAGAAACAAGGCTAAGAACAATGTCACTCGAGCCACGGGGAAAACTTGAAAAGTAGTGTGATAATTGATATGGTTTTGCTTGTCAAACCTTTGTTATCTTTTTATAATAAAAACGAGAGTTATATCTGATAATTTACGTAATGGTGAAATTTATGTTATGTGGCTGCATATTTAGCCCAATACATACTTAGTATTGCATTTTTCAGGGAATACTCCACTCCGCTCTTCATAACCAATACTGGAGGTTAATAGATCCTCAAGGTAAACCAACTGGAGTTCTGGGATGGTGGCCCTCTCGTGCTGTCACGTTTTTGGAGAACCACGACACAGGATCAACACAGGTCTCTCTTCCCTTTTCTCTCACACACACGCACACGCACACGAGCACTGAACCCAAATACCCCTAATACGATGTTATTGTACCATTAACTAAGCACAAGAAGCCAGTTACTGGTTTTTAAGTTCTAGAAGCCTAATGTAGGAACTTTCTTTGATTTTATTTCAGGGCCATTGGCCGTTTCCGCGAGATAAGCTTACGCAGGGATACGCTTACATCCTGACGCATCCTGGAACAGTGAGTTCTTAATCCCTTAGTTGCCACTACAAATGGCTGCTATTTAACTTTGCAATCTTTACCTCTGTTGCAGCCTGTCATTTTCTATGACCATTTATACGACTTTGGTCTCCATGACATCCTAACCGAGCTAATAGATGCTCGAAGAAGGGCCGGGATCCATTGCCGGAGTTCTGTGAAGATATACCACGCGAACAATGAAGGCTACGTTGCACAGATAGGTGATACACTGGTAATGAAGCTTGGAGATTTCGATTGGAATCTGTCGAAGGAAAACCACTTGGAAGGGAGCTGGCAGACGTTTGTTGACAAAGGATCGGATTATAAATTGTGGGTACGACAATAGTCCGATTCAAATGGATACATATATACTTGTAAAACCTGGGATTAATTTATAATTGTAACTTCTTGGCACCAGAAATAAGTGCAAAATAGATGGGTGTGTAAATAAGTTCACCCACATTTGCCTCCGTTTACGTGGTTTTTTGTGTGTATTTGTGTTCGTGGGGGAATTCTTAGGTTTAGATTGTTTAACCGCCTGATAAAATGATGTCACATCGTTATTTACTTTTCATTTAGATTCACAAACATTTCAAACATGTATAAAACATATGAAGCAATATTAACGACATGCAATGCTCTCCGATGAAATGATGTCGCATGGTCAATAACATGTTGATATACTTGTCCGACACCCAATCGCTCTCCTTCCTGTGGGCATGAGAGAGCAGCAAAACTGATCATTTTAGAAAAATAGTAAAAAAAAATACATAAAAACTGAAAGATTTGGAGATGCAGGGGATCGAACCCTGTACCTCCCGCATGCAAAGCGGGCGCTCTACCATTTGAGCTACATCCCCGTTTTAGTGTTTATACTCAAACAAATTATAATTAATAAAAATAAAAAAAAATTTCCCTCGAAAATCGTCGATCACGTGCTCTCTCTCTATCGGGGCAATTTAAAAATGTACTGGTTCAGCCACATCAATGTTATTGAGGCATGATAGGTGTACTAAGAATCAGAAATTCTATCACCAACCCCTGCAATACTCTACTATCTTTAAGCATGAACGAGGGAGATATTTTTTAATGTGTTAGAAATACGATCAAATACATTAAGTGTTATACTAGTAGTTGGATACTTGAAAGAAAAAAAATTTTAACTACCTATATTATAACACTTGATGTACCGAATTGTGTTCCCAACACACTAAAAAATTTATCTATATTATGAAGTATCAAAATCCACTCTACCACTACATAAACAATTGTTATATATTACAATCACACAACTTGGTTATGTAGATGTTCTTCATCGTTGCTAACGCATTGTTCATAAATTATGAATCATACATGCACTAACGGTTAAATTGTCGATTTTAAGCAGTGTTTGGAAGAAGGTCGGTGTCTATCATTGACTTCTACTATAGCCAAAGCCTAAAAAGCAGTAGCTACTCTGTAGTGGATATCAACATTTTGAGTTTGTTTACTACATGCATCAATGATTACAAAAGTCCACCTGTAAGTTGTGTTCATGAGAATGCTATTGTCCATCATTGACCTTTATGATAGAATCAACTGGGGCCTAGAAGACGACGATGTACACTGTTATGAATGTCAGGTTTGAGTTCCGCTCATCTAAAAATTGTTGATTTAACTAATATAAAACTACATGATAAAGCACATCTTTTCGATTCAGCTAACGTTACATGCTTCATTTCGTAGTTGGTCCTCAGATTAGTTAAACCCATGTTTTGGTTTTAGCTTAACCAATACATAAACACGAATTGACCAAAGATGGTTGCATTTTTATGTTTCTCTTCCACAGTCATAGTTGCTAAGAATGTTGATCTATCGATTTATTCACTATTGGGCCTTGAAAGTTAGGTGGCTTGGCCCAAACCTATAATAACCCTAGACAATTAAACACTTATGGCTCGTTTTTTATTCTGTAATTAGAATGAGATAAATTAAATTAAATTGATTAAGAGTTGGAATGAGGTTGATTCAAAATTATATTTATGTTAAAGTTGTTTATCTCGACTATAAAAATACGCTCTTCTAAAGTTTATCTCAAATAACACAATTATTGTTGACTTGTTCTCTTATCTATTGCCATTAAACCCAGGAAAGAGATCCTAGGCCATCTGATCAAGTGATTCAGACCCTTGAAATTTGATTAAACAACTAAAGTTATTATAACTTTTAAAGAGATCCTCTGTTTTTAGCTGTTAGATTAAATTTCAAGAGTTCGGATCATTTGGTCTCGTGATCTTGATGAAAGAGATCCGGAGAATATGTCATTTCTTATACCCACTTCGATTGCTTAAACCAGCAGCGGGAAAATAAACCGAAAAAATAAGAAATAATATAAACTTATTATCTACAAAATTCTTAAAAAAAAATAAAAAGCTCAAAAGTTTGGCTTGAAAATAAAGTGCACCGCTCCACGCGTGCACAAAAGCGCGTGAAATCCGAATATCCCGTCCACTTTTCCTTTCAAAGCCACAAGCAATGACGCACACTTGCTACGTCTCCCCACTAAGCCAACCGTCGATCATCCAAATTTATTGATCAAACGGTTGAAAGATCACAGCACACCAACACCCGCGAAGCACACTAACGCCTCTAACCCCGTGCCGTAGGTTCGGTTACTCGAACCTTGTCCGAACCTGAGATTCGGATTCCGAGGCTGGGGAGGCGTTTTCTTCTGAGACTCTGCAGTGTTTGTTGGAAGACAATTTTTTCGGAGCGGTGTTTTGGTTGGATCGCTTTATCTTCGACTTCGGGTCCGAAAAATGAATTTCGGTTTCTCACTCCTCCAGTCCTAGAGAGAGAAACTTCAGTACCGGAGAGAGAGAGAGATAGCCATTTGCGACGTCGTTTTGGAGCTTAAGCAACTGCTGTGTGAATTGGGAGCTGCGAAGAAGCAGAACGGCGCCGTACTGTCCGCGATTTTGAAGAACCCTAATTCTCCTGGCTTGGATCACAGCGTGAGCTCCCAAATCTCTGGTTTTTGCTCGTTTGTGGTTTTGAGTTCACACTCTGTTGCTTTAGCTTGTAAGAGTGAGACATTAGAGTTGGAGCTGTTAAGGTCTTCTGTTTGTAATTTTAGTCAAATTACCTGGGAATTTGTTAAATTCAGGTGGTTTCCTAGTATTTTTGCGAGAATTGAGGTTCCATTGGCTGTTGGGTAAGATTTTGTTGGATTTTTTAGGGTTTTTGGGTGGAAAGTTTGAATCTTGGTTTTGATTTAATTTGGGTTTCTGTTGCTTAATTATAGAGTTTAAGTGGTTTGTGTTTAGTCTTTGATTTGTTTTTTGAAATCCCGAGTTCGCATTAACTTAATTTTCTGCTGAATTTGCTATCTTTCTCATGTTTTGGTATTAGCTGTCATACTCTCGTAAGATTCGTAAATTCGGGTGCTGAAAAGAAACTGTGAATATCGAAAAGTTCGAATCTTTTTCATTTCAGATGTTTGAGAAAGTTTGAATCTTGTAGCTGGACATCCAAGTCCCTAATTTGATCTCTCTCTCTCTCTCTCTCTCATAAATTTTATTTTGCAAGCAATCGAATAAGACACATGCAACTTTGTTGTTGCGGGTATCAATTGGCAAACTGTTTCAGCGGTTCTCCATAATGAGACCGGCTTGAATTTGAAATCTGATGTAACTGTATTTTCCAGGTTTTCGTGTTTAAATTTTCAATATTTATTATTTGGTCTTTTGTCAAATTGTCTGTCAGTAGTTCTCATCTCAATTTGTCCAATGAAATATGCAGGACAGTTTGGAGAGTGCCCAGAATTGGCGGGATAAGGGTGCCGTATGCATAATGGTCTCATATATAGTCGTAGCTATTTTTCACAGAAACAATTAGCTGAGAAAATTTGGTGCCTGGGAATTTAATGCCTGGTAACGAAATTGAAGGCAGGATCCATAATTTTTATCAGCTAGACAACTATTCCCGTCAATCTCAAGTTGCAGACAGTAATTGGCCTGCGCATATATATAATCAATGGCAGGGAAAACAAAGAGAGACGAGTAATGTACAGCAACTAGGTATAAGTGGCTTTACCTTCTATGGTCTTCTTGATTGCTTTATAGGTTCTGTGTTTTGATTGTCATGTCTGCATTGGAGTTCGCATTCTGTTTCCCAATTAGTGGATAAATCTTTGAATTTTCCCCCAGGACAATTGCATAATGTAACGTATTAAATACGAAGTTCGTGTTTTTGAATGCCCTAATGTATCTGTTGTGGTATTTGCAGATTCTGGGAGAGGACGGGGCGGTGAGTCCTTGAGGTTTGATAAAAACTATTCACAGTTGTCTCAGAGACCGGAATTGTCTAGAAACCAACTTCTGGAGACGAATGAGTTTATGCTTGGACAGCAGGATTTGCAGGAAAGCCAGTTTTTTGGTGATAGCTCAGTTTTCATTCCACATACTTTAACCTCAAGAGGCTTATCTTTCCTTCAATCAGAGCAAGAAAATGCATCATGCGATAGTCCCACTTTGACTACCAATTCAGAAAGGTCTGAAATTACTGAAGCTTCCAGCGAGTTTAACTTCGTTGGAAGGCAGCAACAACTTGTGAGGGGACAACAACAAGGCATTCCACAGCTTCACTCGATGCAGCAGTCTGGGTACAATGACATGCAGATGTTGCAGCAGCACCTGATGTTTAAGAAACTGCAAGAACTTCAGAGGCAGCAGCAAGTACAACAGTTCGGTGATGCAAGGCAACATAATGCAGTAAATCAGCTCTCTGCAATCAATAAGCAGGGTTCTGGGGTTCATTTTTCACCACTAATCAATGGAACACCCGTTAATGATACGCCACAAATGTTTATGAATTGGGTGCAGCGGGGTGGATCGCCAGCAGGACAAAATGTTTCTAATAGAGTTATTTTTTCTCAAGAGCAAGGTCAAACTTTGAGCTCAATGGGTCTTACTTCTCAGCAGTTTGATGTATCTTTATATGGTACTCCTGTTGCTAGTGGAAGAGGGACTATGAATCAGTACCATCTCCCGGCAATGTCTCAGGATTCTGAAAATTTGTTGACCAAGGCTAATGATCAAATGCAGAAGCCTGCTATGCAGTCATCAGCCTTCAGTAATCCCTTTGTAGGTGATCATTGTATGACTGCTTCTCCGGACCAGATTTGCTCACCTCAAGGGGGTTTCGTATCCCGACAAGACTTTCAGGGAAAAAATGTATTTGGACACGTTACTACTCAGGGTTCAAATTGTGAATCCCCATTGGGTAACCTCCAGCTAGGGAATACCTTGCAAACAAATACATCACTTCAAGAACTCAGTGGAAAGCAAGATCAAGCTGGCTGGCTGGGAACCTTTCAGCAAAAAACAATGCAGCATGGCCCTTCACAGGGTTTGGTTCCCCTTGATCCAATGGAAGAGAAGATTTTGTTTAACATGGATGATAGTACTTGGGATCCTTCTATGGTAAAGCACAGTGATATTGGGGCTGGAGGCTTTGGAGATGCATTCGAAAGTTCATTTCCTTCTCTCCAAAGTGGAAGCTGGAGCGCGCTTATGCAGTCTGCTGTAGCAGAAGCTTCTAGTAGTGATACTGGCCAACAAGAGGAGTGGAGTGGTTTGACTTTTCAGAATACCGAGCTGTCAACCGGTAATCAGCCTTCAAACATCGTGGACAATGAGAACCAACAAGGAAGTTGGGCTGATAACAATCTGCAGAGTGTCTCTTCCTTAAGTTCAAAACCTTTTCCCATGCTTAATGACTCAAGTGTTAATTCTAGCTTCCCCGGCTTTCCGCAGCCAGACATCCAATTCACATCTGAGCATCGAGAAGGGATTTACCAGGATGAATCTCATGAATCCAATCAGAAGTCTCCCAAAAACTCTAACGAGTGGTTGGATTGTAACCCTCAGAAGGTTCAGCCACATATGTGTTTGGACGGCATATGGACCAGTCAAAGCAGTAAACCAGAAGGTAAGATTGTTCATTTTTGACCCTGTAATGGAAATGATGCTTGTTTACGTTTCCCTGACATTGTGGGTGATTGTTGGACAGGTGATATTAATGAAGGCACGTACAATAGGAACTCTGAGAGTCATATGTGGAATAGGGAAGGTGATTCCAGGGTAACTTCATTTTCCAGACCAACTGGACAATTGGAGCAAGTACAATTGGGCTCAGAGGATACTCTCAGGAACAGAGAAAATTCAAATATTTTTAACTTTCATTCCGTGCAAAATTCACACATGACTAATGTCCATCAGGAAACCAGTCACCAAGTCCAATATAATAATAAGCTTGATTACGGGAAACATTTTATATCTAGCAACAAGGAGGATAATGAGGCCATTGGAGAAAAACAGCGTCAAATGAGTGACAGCTCTCGTGTTATGCGTAACTCTTATGGGAGGGAAGGTGGAACATATGAGCAGCAGCAAAATTGCTACCAGAGGGACAACTCATATGACCGGAAATCAGAGGATTCTAATGGCATGCGTGTGACCGCACAAACAAGGTAGTTTTCTTTCGAATACTAATGAACATTAAACATTCTCTCTGCAGCCTTCCTTATTATTTACCTTACATATTCGCATTCGTTAGCATATTTACTATTGCGTTGTTCCAATATAATTTTATTGTACATTCACTCTCTTCTATTTTGTATATTCTTGTGGAATCTTTGGATGGCTTAACCGCAACACTCAAAATATGCTTCATCTTCTTAGCAGGGTTTACCAGTCGAAGGAGAATAGTTCTATCGCACAGTTTGGCCCTTCTGGATTTAATCCATTATCTGAGGTAACTGAGGCAAAAACTCCTGGAGCTTCTGGTTCTCATATCTACAATCAGTCTTCTGCTTCTCAAGGTTTTGCTTTGAAATTTGCTTCCCCATCTCAACAACAATCCAATTCAAACACTTTTTTCTCTTCTCAGGGTATGATCCAACCAGCTACTAATTCCAATCAAATGCAAATGGATTCTAGTTTAAGAGAGAAAAATCAGACCTGGTCTACTCCGTCCCCTTCTCAATCTTTGCCCCAATCACATGAATCATCACCAAGATCCCGTTGGGATGATAAATTTAGTATCGGTGGACAATCGAGCATCCCTGCATCCTATATGCATGGAAGCTCTATTGCAGAAATTACATCCAGTCCTACATTTTCAAGGAATCAGCTTCAAACGCAGCATCTGTTTAATGTACCTGGTCCATCTAATCAGACAACATTAACTGGTTCTGCTGCAAGACATCCACCTTCCAACCTTGCTCTAACTCAAGATATTTCTCAGCAGTCTTTTGTCAACTCTGGTGGTCAACAATTCCCTGTTCTTGAAGCTGCTCCAGTTTCTCAGCCTCCTTTTATGTCAGGCATACCTGCACGGGGTGGAGTATCAGTGAAGCCACAGAGTTTATGGACAAATAACCCAAGTCAGCAACATCTTTCTGGCATGGAAACTACTTCGTTGGCTTCGAAGGAGCTAAATGGTCTGAATACCCAGGATGGTGGATATGGGTCATCCGAGTTTGGCCATTCCTCTACAAGTTTACAAGGCTTCATTTCTGCACAAGAGCAGCAAGGGAAAGAGAGGATGCTTGATGCTTCACAGACAGGGGTAAGGAATGTCTCCGATCCTAGTGCTTTTGCCTCTGGTTCATTGTTGAATCATTCGCAACTGCAGGATCTTGGTGGAATACAACATAGCAACAACAATGGCCTGGCTCCCTCTGCAAGAAATCTTGGATTTCTTGGCCATGCTTTAAAACATTCACATGGATTTCATCATGACTACTCCCGGCTACACCAAGTGCAGGCTACAAAGAATGAAGAGGCCGATCCAAGTAGGAGGGATCTGGATGTACAACAGGTAACTGCTATGGAAGGACAGCAGTCAATTTATGGTCATAACAATGATGGTGAACTGAATTCTACACCAGCTCACAAGTTATCGCCACTTGGAAATTCCAATGCACCAAGTTTCCTGGCAGATGCAAGAGAAGGTCCAAGTGTAAAAACTTCTTCACAAGCTGCTTTCCAAGCCCAAGGCATGGTTGCATTTGGTGAAAGTGATTCTCAGAGTCAATCTACTGGCAATAATGTGTTATCTCATAATGGTGAAACTTCTCGGGTGAATCTAAGCATGGCATCGAACTGGTTTAAACAGTATGGGACTTTCAGAAATGGGCAGATGCAACCAATGTATGATGCAAGGCCTGCTACGGGGCAGTTCTCACTCATGAAGCCTTCTCAGAGCCTAAACATACATTCTTCTGTGGAACAGATAGATGCTTCTAATGCTAGTCAAAGCAACAGAGACTGGCCAAGTACAGCGACGAATTTGATAACAAGTGAACCCTTCATATATCCTTGTGTGTTACCTTCAGATGCCATTGATGAAAGTATGGGTATTGTGAGACCAAAGAAACGCAAAATTGAAACATCAGAACTTCTACCATGGCACAAAGTGACACAAGGTTCCAAAAGGGTTCAAGATGTCGGGTATTTAATATTGCTCCCCATTTATTTTCTTTATGTCAAATTTGGTGTGTAGAAGATGAGTTACTCCTTTGTTCATTGAAGCGCACAACCCTTGGGTCGTTTCTGCTTTTTTATTGACTTTTGAATTGCATTTGTTTATGCAGTATGGCAGAGCAAGAATGGGCCTTGGCATGCAATCGGCTAATTGAGAAAGTGAGCTTCTAGTTAAATGGGTCAACCATGCAATTCATTCCACTTTAAAAAATTTCCCAGGTATTTGGATCCTAGTGTTTATGTGTTGTTCATTTTTAATGGCAGGTTGGACATGAATTTGAAATGATTGAAGATGGACGTCCGATCCTTCGATCTAAGAGAAGGCTTATCTTCACAACACAGTTTCTGCAGCAATTGCTCAGCCCTGCACCAGCATCCATTCTCTCAGCAGATGCTGCACTGTACTATGATAGTGTGACATATTTTGTTGCTAAATTATCATTAGGAGATGCATGCACCCTGACCTGCAGCAAAAGAAATAGTATTCATGCGCCACTGAACGACAGTGATATGTAAGTCACCTTTCATGGTTTTTTGAGAGAGCCAGAGAGAGAGATTTTAAATATGAAGTTTATAAAAAGTTCTAGTGCTTCGAGTTGTATGGTTTGAGGTTTTGGCCTTCTAAGAATTAATTCCTCTGCAAATGTTTTGTAGGATTGCGGAAAAGCCTAAAGTTTCTGAAAATATTGATGAGCAATACTTGTCAAAAGCTGTGGAAGAGTTCATGAATAGATCGGAGAAGCTGGAAAATGACTTACTAAGGTATGCCAAAGTTTTCTGTTCATGAAGTCTTCATCGGGAATGAATGGTAGAAAAATGTTTCTTGTAACTGACCGTAAGCAGTTGGACTAAGGCTCAGTTGTGTATGCTTTTTCCTTAATAACCAGATCTGCAATCTGCTAGAAGTTTACAGGGGTACACTCAACCATTTTTTTCAAATTCTGGTATAGTCAGAGATGTTAGTTATGTCAGACGTCAGGTACTTACCCTATTTCTAAGGGTAAAAAGAATAGGTGCTTTTGGATTCAGAACTGCATGTGTTCCTGCGAAAATTGGATAAATCCTTAGAACTATGCCTTGTCAATCTGCCAGAATAACCACATTTGGTATATGTAGCTATCTTTGGAACTATGCCTTAGAACTATGTCTTCGGCCGTTTAGTTAAATTTCTTTTGTATCATGAATCATGCTATCTTTTAATGATGCAGGTTAGACAAGGTATCAATTCTAGACTTAAGACTGGAATGCCAGGAGTTGGAAAGATTTTCCGTCATCAACCGGTTTGCCAGGTTCCATATCCCCCAAGCAGCTACGTCTGGGGTCTCTTCTTCATCCGGTACAGTTCCAACTGCACCAAAACCATTTCCCCAACGATATGTCACTGGACAGCCACTGCCAAGACATCTACCAGAAGGGGTTCATTGTCTTTCACTGTGATTCTGAATTGAGTGCTCCTCCCGCCTGAATGCTCTCCCCTTTTCATCCATATGCATTCCATATCCCGCTCGTGCACCCGTTTATGATCGCTTTTACTGACATATATGCTGGCATTGAAGAAAGAAGATTGAAAAGATGGAATGCAGGAAGTCGACCCCAAGTAACAAAGGCCGCTCGTTCATTTTTGAACCAACACCTATTGTTGTCATTTTTGAGAAAGTACATATGGTTCTCTTGTATATTTTGATGAAGTTGCAGAGGAGAATAGGTAGAGTGCCTGAAGTAGCAGGGGGATCGTCGTTGGATGTGTCTCTTAGTTGCCCTAAGTTGCATAAATTAGTTTTTAATCTAGCCATACCTAATTTATACAAGAATCTCCGGTAGCTACGGGCACTGTCAGTGTCGCATTTCCTCTCTTTTTCTCTTCCTCCGCCGCTCTTTTCGCCGTTTTCACAGGTCTTTTTCTGCATAAAGCTGTGCTGGATGAACCAGGAGAGAGAGTTGAGATGTTGAAGATGAAAAACAGTTCAAGTTAGCTAGGAAAATTGAATAATATTATGAAAGTTGGTTGTAATTTCAACTTCTTTTTTTTTTTTTTTCCTGACATTAATGATAGTATCTTTCTTTATTCTGATTGGTCACGTGTAAATGCTTGTAATTTGGCCTTTGAATTTTCGGTGGGGGAACCCAGAAAATCTATCTGAAAAGGTTGCCGAAGCTTCCAACTTCATGGGGACTTTAAAAATAATTTGTTTGTCTTTTGTTGTTCTCTTGAAAAGTACTTGTGTTGTCTGTCTGTCTGTCTGCATCATCAGAATCTGATCCGTTCATGATCCACCAAAGTGTTTTATATTTTTATTTTTAACGAAAATGACGAAAAAAATTCTGTGGGGTTACTTACTTGATTGGTTGGTTATGTACGAAGAAGCTTGGGATTTGGTGGGATTATTTGGTACTTTCCCAACAAAAATGTTGACTGCTGACAACACCATGGATTTGGTGTTTTTACTGTAAATTTCACCATCATTTTCTGTTGTCCACGTGGGTTTAGATTAGGACATGGGACTTTCAGCCACGTGGAATGTGGGACCTGAATTACCAAGGTCCCTTTCCTTCTCCTGGTCAGCCCTAGATTGCTCATGGAATGGAATGTATTTCCTTGTACCATAATGGTTTGGTTTCTTCTTTCTAGTTAATCTTAATTATGATTTTATTTAATTAGGTTTTGTAGTTTAATTCCTTGACGTATTATTAACCAATGGATGATACTACGGAGACTAAATTTAAGATTTCTTAAAATGGAGGAATTTTATTTTTATCTTTATCGGATTTTGCAACAACCTATCACGGGATTTACGGAACAAAAAGGGTATTTTTGTATTTTCACTCAGTTTTGGGATATTTTCTTTTTAAAAATAGCTTTTTGGGTCTTAATAGGTGTGCCCAAGGGGCCCACCTTTTGTTTGTTGTTCCCGGGTCCAAGCCTTTCACCTCTCTCTCTCCTCTCATTCTTCCCGAGCTCTCTCTCTGTGTCTCATTTCTACCTCTCTCCCTCTTGGTGATCTTCTCTCCGACAAGAACACACACACGCACCCATACATATATACACACAACCATCACAAGGACTTCACCATCATATTCATCATCCGAGCTTCATCTTTTTCTCCCTCACCTTCAGTATCCATCTCGGCACTACGCACAATCATTATGCACGAGATCTCTGTTGAGGTAAGTGCAAAGCACACCTAAATCTCCTTAGATTGTGCTTATTATTGTGTTTAGATAGTGTTTGAATTGTTGTGGTATAGTTTAAACACCAAAATAACTCGGGAAGGCGTTTTCCAGATTTTCTAGCGAGGTCCGACAGCTTTCGAGCCAATTTCAGGCCAAACCACTACGAGTTGGCCTGCGTGCAAGTTATCAATCTCTTTGTCTCGCTGAGTACTACAACTTTCATTTTTGAATCACCCAATTTCGTTGAGTATTGAAGAAGTTATATCCATTTGAATCTTACCCAGTTTCCGGCGACCTTCGAGGCTTTCGAGGTGTTTTTTCGGCCGAAATCCGGCCTTCTTCTTCTTGAGGTCCGGCGACCCAACAAACCCAAGCCCTTCGGGCCATTCCTACCAAGCTCAAAAACCCAAGGAACTCAGACCTTTCAAGTCTCCTTAAAGACCATCGGGGCCTTAGGCCTGTTTCAGACCCAAGCCCAAACCCTTTTTTATTATTTGTTTTGTTTTAAATTATTTGTTAAAGGCCTTTGGGCCGTGAGTTGTTGAGGGCCCCAAGCCCAAGTCCTAAACCCAATTTCCCTCAGCCCTTTTCTTTTAGAACCTAAGGCCTTAGCCTTTGGGCCTCCCACCTAGGCCCGAGTAACCCAAAACTTGGTCCTAAACCCATTAAATCCTAGCCCACCTAAATAGCTAAACCCTTAACCCATTAACCCATTATCCTAAGCCCAACCTACCTAAACGTAAACCTAACCTAAGTCCAAACCCTTTAGGCCCAACCCGGTCCAATCCAAAACCCTTGACCCGGATCCGTTGACTTTGAAACATTGACCGTTGACCCGGTCAATGTTGACTTTGACCGATCAACGTTGATCGTTGACTTTCAGGTTTTCGTCCAGAACCCTTCCTAGGCTAATTTCGACGTCCTGAACCCATTTCCGATGTCTGTTTTCTCAGATTAAGTTGTTCAAGTAGAGTTTGACTAAATGTACCATTTATGTGCTTAGAGACAATTATTTGTGGTGTTTCCGTCTTCGCTAGTTACGTGGCTCTTCGGCGGCGAAGTACTGTGAGTGGACCCCTTTAAAAATGCATGTTTTAATAGTAGAAATGCATACATGAGGCATGATTTGATGACTATGTTTTATGAAACGTTTTATGAGATAACATGCTTACTGAGGCTAGTTTGAATTATTACTATTTTTCCTATAACCCGTGTTCTTATAGAGTATCCGATGGATGATGATATGATATTTAGAGCATGTTTAGAACACCTCTTTATAGTATAGATGATGAATGACTTTATACTATGAAGTTGCTTTTCAATATATATATGTTCAATGGCTTTGTACTTACCTAGTGGTCATTTTTCCGCTACGGGACGTAGGGATAGATTCTGGTCCGTCCCGGGCAACGGTTTGGTGTTAGCATAGGGCTTGGAGTGTGTTTCCTCTAGCTATTAGCACATGGACAGAGAGCCGGCATGAGGCCTGGAGTGTATTTTACCCTGACTATTTGCTCACTTGGTTCACCCATGTTTTATTATATATAAATAATAATAACTGTTTTATTATTTATATATATCAACTTGATTCACTTATGTTTGTTTTGTGCCCCCTTCAGGACTTATAAATGAGGCATACAATCCAGGCATCCAGGCACTTCTGCATCAGCATCTTCGAGTCCTCTCGATGTAGGATCCATCCTTTGTTTCATTCAATTTTGTATTATTTCTTTTAGTGTTCTAGTTAGTTGTATGCTCTGAACACGTTCCTTAAAATGCATATTCTTTATTCTTTTATATTTATAAGTCTTATCTACCCCTTGTTTTTAGCATTTGCACTCAATAAATGGTTTTTGTCACCTTTGGGTGTCGGTCAGTACTTGCCTATCCTGGTATTCAAGGAATATCGGGATCGGGACGTGTCAGATTTGACATTTGTCAATCTTTTTTATTCTGTTTCTTTCTAGATCAGAAGATGGAGAGAGGAGTGGCCCCAGACCCAGAGTTTCACAAATGTGGTCAAGGCCCGTTTCAAAAGTTCAAACTTTCAATAATTCCACTAGCATATGAAAAGGCAATAAATCAAAAGGAAGATAACAATTTAGATAGAAAAACAAAAGGAAGAAAACAAAGAAATCCGCAGCATAGCTCAGCATAAGGCAATAAAGCATATAAACCAGAAAAATAACAACAAAATTAAGGACAATAATGAATTTAATTACCCAAAAAGAAAATAAAACCGAGTTTGTGTTTAAATCTTTCAGTGCGTCCAGAAAAAGAAAATGAAACCTAGTTCCATCAGTAATAGAACAAAAGTATACAACAATAGATTGATGAAACTAAAGCCGTTCGCTGAATGTACCAGCAAAACAACATCCTAATAAACCAAAGAAAGGAATAAAATCACGTGTACAACGGGTAAATCTAACCGGAATGAACCCTAAATCAAAGAGACAAAATGGTGGATTCCCCAATGAATCCTAAACCGATGCTCCGGGCTTCTTCTATATATGATACGATAGAGAAGCTAAATTCTAAAACATCTCATAGCGGAAAAAGGAAAGATAAAGAACAAAAATGAGCAACCTACATATAATAGCTGTTCCTTTTCCGGCACAAGGTCATGTGCTTCCCTTGATGGAGTTGTCACAATGCTTAGTCAATCATGGCTTCAAAGTCACCTTTGTGAACACAGAGTTCAATCACAAACGCATCGTGAACGCCTTGGCTGGCAAAACTCATGTAGGAGATTGTATTCATCTAGTTTCACTTCCAGATGGCTTAGAACCCGGGGAGGACAGGAATGACCTAGGCCTGTTGTGTGAAGGAATGCAACGAGTCATGCCGGGGAAGTTGGAGGAGTTGATAGAGAAGATCAATGAAGAAGAAAGTGACAAGCTCACTTGTGTCCTTGCCGATGAGAGTTGCTGGTGGGCTCTGGATGTTGCAGCGAAAATGAAAATCCGGCGGGTTGCCTTTTGGCCTGCATCAGCTGCAGCTTTGGCATTGAGTTTCAATATTCCAAAGTTGATTCATGAAGGAATCATCGACGATGATGGTACCGTAAGAATAATTTGATTAACAAAGAAATATTTTGATCTAATTCACTAATTATATTTTTGTTATGATTCACTTATGGCAGGAACTCCGTTGAAAAGCCAAGAAATTGAGTTGGCAAAAAATCTGCCCAAAATGAAAACCGCAGACTTGCTGTGGACATGCTTTCATACACTAGCCACTCAGAAAATCGTCTTTCAAGTTATAGTAAGAAACAATAAGTCTGTGAAAGCGGCAGACTGGCTTGTTTGCAACTCGGCGTATGATCTTGAACCAGCAGCGTTCAATCTGGCACCCGAGATTTTACCAATAGGCCCGCTTTTGGCAAGCAGCCGGCTCGAGAACTCAGAAGGAAACTTCTGGCCACAAGACTCCACTTGCTTAGAGTGGCTGGATCAACAGAAACCCAGATCAGTGATCTATGTTGCATTTGGCAGCTTCACGGTTTTCGATCAAACACAATTCCAAGAGCTTGCGTTGGCTCTTGAGTTGTCAGGGAGGCCATTTCTGTGGGTTGTGAGGCCGGATACCACTGATGGTACAAGTGATCCCTACCCGGAAGGATATCAAGAGCGAGTAGGCTCTCGCGGTCTGATGGTCGGTTGGGCACCTCAACAAAAGGTTCTTAGTCATCCTTCGATTGCTTGCTTCATAAGCCACTGCGGTTGGAACTCTACCCTGGAAGGCCTAAGCAGTGGGCTTCCTTTCTTGTGCTGGCCGTACTTTGCTGACCAGTTGCTCAACGAGAGCTACATTTGCGATATTTGGAAGGTGGGACTGAGATTCGATAAGAATGAAAGCGGGATCATCACGGAAGGAGAAATCAAGACCAAGGTGGAGCAACTTCTCAGTGATGAAAACTTCACAGCGAGAGCTTCGAAACTGAAGGAAGTGGCCATGAACAACATCAAAGAAGGCGGACAATCGTACGAGACCTTCAAGAACTTTATTGAATGGATGAAGTCTTAGACGAGACGCCCATCGATCTTCGTTTTCTTCGAAATAAACAAAAGGAAATAGGCAGCAAAGAAAATGCAGCCATGGATTCAACTGAGACCAATGTAAACGGCAACCCTATGTTCATTAAATAAAGTTTTCCAACAGTACCAAAACAAGAATATAAAACAACAGCGTGATGTTTTGGGCGGCTAGATCTAGAACTACCTTCAACGGTTTGTATAGGCCGTAATATTTTATATTTAGTAAGATCTGTTGACTTTTTATACCATTCCAAACTATCGTCGTTTGCCCTAAAGCATCAACAAGACCAATGCCCATGAATACAAAATCTACAGTAAAGGATCCTAAAGCTCCTTCTATTTATAGTATCACGTAGGTAATGAAATTTGACTAAAGATACTTTATAGTTTCAGAAACTCTAATTGAATTGGTGGTTTCTTCAATTTAACAGAGATTTTTTACAGAACTAAAATAATTGATTTGATGGTAGACAATCTCAGGACTACTTCTATTGATTTTAAAGTTTAGGGATCAAAGTAAGGCGTTATGACAATTTCAACAACCATTTTACTAAAAATCCTTATGTTTTTAGGTTGACAGAAGAAAATAACATATGTTATAGGGTTTATAGAAAACGTACCAAAAAAGGATGCAGCATTAGATCCAAAACTAACCAAAATAGGTCCAAAAATAAGATACAAAATCTATAAGAAACTAATCTAAAATATGGACCGGAAAAGTTCCAATACGATGGTATGAATCATGTGTTTCATCTGATTTGACATATAAATGTTTTTTTAACCTCAATATTATATCTTACCCACTGACTCGTGATCCTCACCTTTTGTATCTGATACTCTCCTTTTTTAGGGCTGGTCCATAACCCTAAATGTCTCGTCATTCGCTCCTCTCTTGTAAAAGCCCTTGAACTTCAAGCGACCTTCATCTCGCTTGGAAAACCGTTATAAATTTTGGTTTCAATTTTGTTATCCTTGGAGCCTACAAAGTTATTGTACTTTTTATGCAATGATGTAAACAAAGTTATTGTACTTTTTTTGCAATGATGGAGGGTGCATGTCACTTGACGGAGAGAAATTTGTGTGTGATTTAGCATGTCACTGGACTTTGCTAAGTGGTACTACAATCCACTCAAAAATCACCCGTGACAAGTCTTAAATATAATTTTTTTTTCTCATTCTTTTATATTTAAAATTCTCATAATTATTTTTTTCACTAATTAATGTGCATCAATTTAATGGCTTATATTTTATTTGTCCCCCCCCCCCCTTCTCTCCTTTTCCCAAATATTCCCTCCAGTTTATGTTGCAGGGCATGCCTGCCTTCTTTAACTCCCCAAACAATCTCATTGTGTAATATTATTTGATTTATCTCTTCGAATATGGTCTTTACGAAGACTGAACCTTTTCCTCATAGCATAAGCATTGCGTACTTGAAAGGCTTCAATGTCAGAATTCACCACCACATCTTCTTAAAAGTCCATTGTCTCAGCAGCAACCTACCAATTGAAAAAAAAAAAAAAAAAAAAAAAAGGACTACCACATTAATAAAATACTCATAGTAAAGAACGGAAAAAACTATTGTATAAATATGTGGGTAATTCGTATCAACATATTAACCATAACATTGATTAACAATTGAGCCCAAATATTAGATTAACATGTGAACGAAAACAAATAAAAAATTAGGCTAACCCTAATACACCTATATATATGGGTTATTCATGTCAAGTTCACATGATCAAATCAAGTATTGTATAAATAACGAAAAAACTTAAAGATTATTGATTGATTTCCATGACAAAAGTTGGAGAAAGTGATTTTGTTTAGGGTACAGAATTTTTTCTGAAGAACAGTGAGAGAAAAAAGTCGGAGAGACAAAGAAGTGGGAGAGAGAAGAAAGTGAAAGAGTCCTGCAACATAAATTGGAGGGAATATTTGGAATGGATAACTGTATTTTGCCACCAATTGTCCTTTTTTTTTAAAAAGAAAGAAAACAAAAAAAAAATCCATTAGATTGATGTATATTAATTAGTGAGAAATATAATTATGAGAATCCTAAATATAAAAGAATGGGAAAAAAAATTACATTTAAGACTTGTCATGTGGCGATTTTTAGTGGATTGTAGTGCTACTTAGCAAAGTCCAGTGGTAAGTCAAGCCTCACACAAGTTTTTCTTCACTTGACGCCGAGGTTTGGAAAAGAAAATTTTGGGATATAGAGCATTTTCTATACCTAAAATTAGTGATAATCTACTATTAACTAAAGAAGTAATAACAAGTCTTACGTGGTAACAAGGTTATCTGAAAAAATCGTGCATGTTATGGCCGAATAACTCGATGGATCAATTCGCTTGTGTTCTTGCTGATCAGAGTATTCGCCGGAAGTTGTTGAGAAAAAGGCGATCTAGCGAGCAAGCTGCCTTCTGCCCGGTACTTGAATTTATGCCCGAAAACTCTAGGATCATATGATATAACACTAGAAACATAAATATGTCTAGCAATCAAGTTATGGGAAGTAACAAATTAAGTTACCAAATCCAAATTCCTTGCTTTCAATCTACATTCACATTTCCAAATGAAAACCTGTTCATATAGTGCACAAAAAGATTTCACTACAAAAGCCACTTAATCTACAATGGAAGCCGAGATCTTTGTATGGCTTGCGAGTCCACAGCATAGAAAAGGAAAGACGAGTCTAACGCTTTGAAAACTGAGGGGCTTTGCGAGCTTTCTTGAGACCAGGCTTCTTCCTTTCAACTACTCTGGCGTCTCTGGTCAGCAGCCCTTCCTTTCTGCAAGGTCTTCTATGGTCTTCGCTGACCTTTAGCAAAGCTCGAGCAATGCCAAGGGATATCGCCTGCGCCTGACCAGAAAGGCCACCGCCATGAGCCTTGACAAACACATCGTATCCACTTTCGTATCCTAAAGTAACCAACGGTACTCTTACGTACTGTAACCACAACGGGTTGCCTTGCAGATATTCCTACACAACATTAATCTACAGAATCATAAGTGTTTCGTTTATATTGTCTACAAACAAACAAAATTCCCTAACAAGTAACTTTGGTGCTTGTACTTCGCCTACTGCTATACTTGTTCCATGATCATGATATTCACGACAGGAGACAATTATTTGTAGACCATGAGATACAAAAAAGAAAGCATTGTTCAAGGAACAGTGGATACTGAATGTGTAAAAGGACTCAGACCAGAAGAAATATCACAGTATTCGGAAACCATGAACGAAACCATTAACACAAATCATCGCAGTCCACTCAGAGTTGTATCTAGAAACAGATAACAGATTATATACAAGATTAGATGAACTAATTAACCACTACCCGTTAACCTTTCCATCATAAACATAAGCCCCACAGAGTAATGCTTGGATTCAATACATAAAAATCATTGGACACTTGGAGCATAAAATGAAGAGACCAGAACAAACAAAGCAAAACATAAAGGAACTAAGAGCATCATAGCAGATAAATAAAGGGCTATCCCCCACAACCGCATCTGCTATCGTAATGTTGTTAGGGGGTTTTGTCCAATGCGGGATAGTTGCAGGACGTGAATAGCCAGCGCACAATCAACCAATTAACCAACAAACTGTAGACCGGCCACTCACATCCCGCAACATTCCTCTAGCATTGAAGAATTTCTGAATGTTGTTGACCTTACAACATTTATTTTACTTATGTCTAGACTCAGCAACATTTATATTACTTATGCTCGTTCTCTAACTCTCTCCTCTCTCTGACATAACAGGATCCAAATTAGGGAAAGAGAGATTCTGTTTTTGATCGAGTTCTTCAGGCAACAACAAGGTACTTATTGTTTCCCTACATTTCTTTAATTGTCTTTTGGATTTTCTTCTTCAATCCATTATTTGGTTGCCAAGCTTGGACACCTAGATATCAATTTCCTTTCTCTTTCGAAAATCAATGAATAATGGGTGAAACTCTACAGTTTTAACCAGCTGATCCACAGAATGTGAAACTTTAATTTTAATTTGCTACTATTTCATTGCCTTCGATTTTTGTCACTGCTAGTGGCGACCAAAAACAGCAATGAGCAGATGAACATGGGAAGTACAGAACTTTCTGGATGAATGTTAAGAATGTACGATCACCTTCATACGCTCAACCTAATCTGATAGGATTGAAGTTTCTTTTCAAATTTTTTCTATCATTTTTTTTTCTAAATTTGGTTTTGAATTTGCAGGTACTTGTGTGACATCCCACATCGTCCAGGGGAGTGATCCTTAAATATATATTTCCATCCCTACCTAGCACGAGGCCTTTTGGGAGCTCACTGGCTTCGGGTTCCGTAGGAACTCTGAAGTTAAGCGAGAAGGAGGCTAGAGCAATCCCATGATGGGTGACCCACTGGGAAGTTGCTCGTAAGTTCCCAAAAACAAAACCGTGAAGGAATGGTAAGCCCAAAGCGGACAATATCGTGCTACGGTGGTGGAGCGGGCCCTGGAAGTGATCCGCCCCGAGCGGGGATGTGACAATTTGGTATCAAAGCCTAACCCTGGTCGCATGTGTGCCGACGAGGACGTCGGGCCCCTAAAGGGGATGGATTGTGACATCCCACATCGCCCAGGGGAGTGATCCTTAAATATATATTCTCATTCCAACCTAGCACGAGGCCTTTTGGGAGCTCACTGGCTTCGGGTTTCGTAGGAACTCCGAAGTTAAGCGAGAAGGAGGCTAGAGCAATCCCATGATAGGTGACCCACTGGGAAGTTGCTCGTGAGTTCCCAAAAACAAAACCGTGAGGGAATGGTAAGCCCAAAATGGACAATATCGTGCTACGGTGGTGGAGCGGGCCCGGGAAGTGATCCGCCCCGGGCCGGGATGTGACAACTTGCCTCCAGCAGCCCTCTGCCTGCACATCCGCACTCGGCAGCCTCTAATTTGGCTAAATTTTGGTTTTGATTTTTCTAGATCTGTATGTATTTGTGTCTGGCTGTTTAATTCTATGATTGAGGATTTTTAACATAATATGACGAAATTAGAAATTTAAAACATAATCGACTTATAAATAAATACATGCTTAAGAAATTTATATATCAGAAATTTAAGAGCAAGAATTGACTTATATAAAATCGATTTTTAATTGGGTAGATGTAATTTGTTAAACAAAAGTGTTTAAAACATCTTTTTCGATGTCAGGAGTGGAACCTAGAACTCTTAACCATAAGAATAAAAAAAATTAAAAATGGAAAACTCTCTTCTTAGATTACTTTTAATGTACTCACTTTGCTTCCTTTTGAGTACATAAGGATCCCCTTAACTATGGAGATTACAATAATTGATAGGATAAATATTTAATGCTAAAGATTATAGTTTCTAAACATCTAATTAAAACATGACTTTGAAAGATGGAAAGCCACCAACAACATGTTTAATACATAGACAATATTAATTGTCTTGGGCTGCATCAATGTATCAGCAAAACAACATCCTAATAAACCAAAGAAAGGAACAAAATCACGTGTAAAACGGGTAAATGCAGGGGTAAATGTAGGAGTAGGATTTTCTCCCCTTCTATTCTCATTTCCTTTCTTCCCCTTCTCTCATATATTATTTTTTGTCTTATTATTTGAAACGATAATAAGATGAACATTGTATGGAACCTGATGAATCGATGCCGATATTGCTATCGTTTTGATTTTTCTGTGGTGGTGTTGAGCAAATGTCTCTGACATGATATTTAGAAACTGATGAGAGTTGAAAATAGTTGAATATTCAAATGGCTAGATTGGAAGTCTATGACAAGTGATAGATTGAATGCTTTTCGTACACACCACCTAATCAACTAATCAACCCTACAGTAATGACTAGGTAACAGTTACCCATGTTTTGTGGAATTTGAAACTGCATTGTAAACGTAGTTGAGACCCACAAGAAACTGCATCATCCGATCTTCTTCAATTTGCTCATTATATGTCCTTGTAAGAAGAGGTCGATATGTCTCTAATTCATCCCAAAGGCCTTTAAGTTTTGTAAAATAAGCTGAGACCGTCATGGAGCTTCGTGAGAGAGATGCGATGAACTTCTAAATCTGATAGATTGTTGGTGCATTCTTCTGTGAAAACTAATCTTTGAAATCTTTCCACACCTTTTGGGCGCTTTTGGCATGAACAACTCTTTTATGGCGTGTTTACATAACAGTAATGAAAATAGGAGGAATTGAATTGAGGAGGAGTTCGAATGAGGAGAAGTCAGAATCGAATTCCTATTGAAGTTGTTTACTTAAATGTTCTGGAATCAGAATAGAATTTCATAAAATTGTTTACTAATTCAACAGAATCGGAATATAAACTAGTATGATTACTAAAATGTCTTTGTCCCAAATCAAATATTTTATGTACTTTAATGGGTTTATAAAGGATGGTCTTGGAAATAAAAAAAAGTAAGTGAAGGCATAAAGGGAACAAAAGTGTCATTCCGATTGCCCAAATAATCAAGAATCAAATTATCACTTATATATATAGGGAATCCAATTCCACCAATACAAGGAATTGAATTCCAAAATTTGTGTGGGCCCCACTGCTTTTTTGATTGCTCTATGTTTAGTAAACACCGAAGTACTCTGTAATCGAAATTCAATTTCACATTCTCAATTCAATTACGGATACGTAAATACGCCCTTAGATAAATCAAATTCAGCTATTATGAAGCCGTGACAAAATCATATTGTTGCATTGATTCCAAAGAGCAAATTCTTTCGGTTGACTTGTTGCTGAGGGGGCTGAATGAAGCCATCGATGAAGCCAATTTTATTCTTGGCTGTGAGAGCATGGATTGTGAATTTACTCCAAGATGAATAATTGGGACCATTCAATCTTTCTGAATTGATACCGGGGTTTTCTGAATGATGAACATAGTATGGACTTGATGGATCCATGCAGATATTGCTATTGTTTTGATTTTTCTGTGGTGGAGGTTGAACAAATATCTCTGACATGATATTTAGAAAATGATGAGAGTTAAAAACGTGGGCAAAATAGTTGAATATTCAGACGGCTAGATTGGAAGTCTATGACAAGTGATAGATTGGATGCTTTTCGTCTGTCTCCATTGACTAGGTAACAGTGACCCATATTTTGTGAGATTTGACTCAAATCTATTTAGGTAAATATAATACCAGATATTTACATATAATACCGTATATAATATTTCCTAATACGATGCTCCGGGCTTCTCCTATATATGACACGATAGGGAAGCTACATTCGAAAACATCTCATAGCGGAAAAAGGAAAGATCAAGAACAAAAATGAGCAACCTACATATAATAGCTGTTCCTTTTCCGGCACAAGGCCATGTGCTTCCCTTGATGGAGTTGTCACAATGCTTAGCCAATCATGGCTTCAAAGTCACATTTGTGAACACAGAGTTCAATCACAAACGCATCGTGAACGCCTTGGCTGACGAAACTCATGTAGGAGATCGTATTCATCTAGTTTCGCTTCCGGATGGCTTAGAACCCGGGGAGGACAGGAATGACCTAGGCCTGTTGTGTGAAGGAATGCAACGAGTCATGCCGGGGAAGTTGGAGGAGTTGATAGAAAAGATCAATGAAGAAGAAAGTGACAAGGTCGCTTGTGTTCTTGCGGATGAGAATTCCGGGTGGGCTCTGGACGTGGCAGCGAAAATGAAAATCCGACGGGTTGCCTTTTGGCCTGCATCAGCTGCAGCTTTGGCATTGAGTTTCAATATTCCAAAGTTGATTCATGAAGGAATCATCGACGACGATGATGGTATCGTAACAATAATTTGATTAACAAAGAAATATTTTGATCTAATTCACTAATTATATTCTTGTTATGATTCACTTACGGCAGGAACTCCGTTGAAAAGCCAAGAAATTGAGTTGGCAAAAAATCTTCCCAAAATGAAAACTGCAGACTTGCTGTGGACATGCTTTCATACACTAGACACTCAGAAAATCATCTTTCAACTTTTAGTAAGAAACAGTAAGTATGCGAAAGCGGCAGACTGGCTTGTCTGCAACTCGGCGTATGATCTTGAACCGGCAGCGTTCACCCTAGCACCCGAGATTTTACCAATAGGCCCGCTTTTGGCAAGCAGCCGCCTCGAGAACTCAGAAGGAAACTTCTGGCCACAAGACTCAACTTGCTTAGAGTGGCTGGATCAACAGAAACCCAGCTCGGTGATCTACGTTGCATTTGGTAGCTTCACGGTTTTCGATCAAACACAATTCCAAGAGCTTGCTTTGGCTCTTGAGTTGTCAGGGAGGCCATTTCTGTGGGTTGTGAGGCCGGATACCACTGATGGTACGTGTGATCCGTACCCGGAAGGATATCAAGAGAGAGTAGGCTCTCGCGGTCTGATGGTCGGTTGGGCACCTCAACAAAAGGTTCTCAGTCATCCTTCGATTGCTTGCTTCGTAAGCCACTGCGGTTGGAACTCTACCCTGGAAGGCCTAAGCAATGGGCTTCCTTTCTTGTGCTGGCCGTACTTTGCTGACCAGTTGCTCAATGAGAGCTACATTTGCGATATTTGGAATGTGGGACTGAGATTCGATAAGAATGAAAGCGGGATCATCACGGAAGGAGAAATCAAGACCAAGGTGGAGCAACTTCTCGGCGATGAAAACTGCAAAGCGAGAGCTTCGAAACTGAAGGAAGTGGCCATGAACAATATCAAAGAAGGCGGACAATCATACAAGACCTTCAAGAACTTTATTGAATGGATGAAGTCTTAGACGAGACGCCCATCTATCTTCGTTTTCTTCGAAATAAACAGAAGGACGTAGGCAGCAAAGAAAATGTAGCCATGGATTCAACTCAGACCAATGTAAACGGAAATCCAAAATCTTGTGTTCATTAAATAAAGTTTTCCAACAGTACCAAAACAAGAAAATAAAACAACGGTGTGATGTTTTGGACGGCCAGATCTAGAACTACCTTCAACGGTTTGTGTAGCCATGATATTTTATATTAAGTAAGATCTGTTGATTTTGTATACCATTCCAACCCATTGTCGTTTGCGCGAAAGCATCAATAAGACCAATGCCCATGGATACAAAATCTACAGTAAAGGATCCAATGCTCCTCCTATTTAGTATCACCTAGGTAATGAAATTTGACTAAACCTACGGTAAAGCATCAAATCAATCAACAAGACCAATGCCCAATAAGAAATCAAATCAATTATCACGAAAGAAGAAATCAAGAAATAAGACTTGACTGCTGAACATTTCATCAAAAAATAGGTAAAGAAATTTGACTAAACCTACAATAAAACATCAAATCAATCAACAATGCCGAATAAGAAATCAAATAAATCATCACGGAACGAGAAATCAAGAAATAAGACTTGGCTACTGAACATTTGACCAGCGAAGCAGCGTCCGAAATCAAGACCAATGCCCATGAATACAAAACCTATAGTAAAGCATCAAATCAATCAACAAGACCAATGCTCCTATTTATAGTCTCACGTAGGTAATGAAATTTGACTAAAGAAACTTTATAGTTTCAGAAATCCTAGTTGGACTGGCGATTTCTTCAATTTAACAAAGATTTTTCACAGGACTAAAATGATTGATTTGATGGTAGATAATCTCAAGATTACTTCTATCGATTTTCAAGTTTAGGAACAAAGTGATGAGTTATGTCAATTTCAGAGACTATTTTGCTAAAAATCCTTATGTTTTTAGGTTGACAGAAGAAAATAACTTATATTATAGGGTTTTAGGGTTTATAGAAAACGTACCAAAAAAGGATGCAGCATTAGATCCAAAACTAACCAAAATAGGTCAAAAAATAAGATACAAAATATATAAGAAACTAATCTAAAATATGGGCTCGAAAAACTTCCAATACAACCGTATAAATCACGTGTTTCGTCTTATTTGACATATAAATGTCTTTTTAACCTCAATATTACATATCACCCACTAACTCGTGCCCCTCACCTTTTGTATCTGATACTCTCTCCTTTTTTTGAGGCTGGTCCATAACCCTAAATGTCTCATCATTCGCTCCTGTCTTGTAAAAGCCCTTGAACTTCAAGCGACCTTCGTCTCGCTTGGAAAACCGGCATAAATTTTAGTTTCAATTTTGTTATCCTTGGAACCTACAAAGTTATTGTACTTTTTATGCAATGATGTAGGGTGCATATCACTTGACGCCTAGGTTTGGAAAAGAAGAATTTGGGATATAGAGCATTTTCTATAGCTAAAATTAGTGATAATCTACTATTACCTGAAGAAGTAATAACAAGTCTTACCTGATAGTCTTACCTGATAATCTAAAATTATGGCCGAATAACTCGATGGATCAATTCAATTGTGTTCTTGCTGATCAGAGTGTTGGCCGGAAATTGTTGAGAAATAGGCGATCTAGCGAGCAAGCTGCCTTCTGCCCGGTACTTGAATTTATGCCCGAAAACTCTAGGATCATATGATACAACACTAGAAACATAAATATGTCTAGCAATCAAGTTATGGGAAGTAACAAATTAAGTTACCAAATCCAAATTCCTTGCTTTCAATCCACATTCACATTTCCAAATGAAAACCTGTTCATATAGTGCACAAAAAGATTTCACCACAAAAGAAACTTTAATCTACAATGGAAGCCGAGATCTTTGTATGGCTTGCGATGTTCACAGCATAGAAAAGGAAAGACGAGTCTAACGCTTTGAAAACTGAGGGGCTTTGCGAGCTTTCTTGAGACCAGGCTTCTTCCTTTCAACTACTCTGGCGTCTCTGGTCAGCAGCCCTTCCTTTCTGAGAGGTCTTCTATGGTCTTCGCTGACCTTTAGCAAAGCTCGAGCAATGCCAAGGGATATCGCCTGCGCCTGACCAGAAAGGCCACCACCATGAGCCTTGACAAACACGTCGTACCCACTTTCGTATCCTAAAGTAACCAACGGTACTCTTATGTACTGTAGCCACAACGGGTTGCCTTGCAGATATTCCTACACAATGTTAAAATACAGAATCATAAGGGGTTCGTTAACATTGTCTACGAACAAACAAAATCTCCTAACAAGTAACCTTGGTGCCTGTACTCCAACTACTGCTATACTTGTTACATGATCATGATATTCACGACAGATGAGACGATTCTTTGTAGACCATGAGATGCAAAAAAGAAAGCATTGTTCAAGGAATTGCTGATACTGAAAGCTGTAAAGGACTCGGACAACAAGAAATATCACAGTAGTCGGCAACCATGAACGAAACCTAACACAAATCATCGCATTCCACTCAGAGTTGCATCTAGAAACAGATAACAGATCGAAAAACAAGATTAGACGAACGAATTAACCACTACGCAAACCTTTCCATCATATAAACATAATCCCCAAAGAAGAATGCTTGAATTCAATACATAAAAATCATTGGGGCACTTTGAGCGTAAAACGAAAAGAACAGAACAGAACAAACAAAGCAAAACATTAAGAACAAAGAACATCATAGCAGATAAATAAAGGGCCATCCCCCACAACCGCATCTGCTATCGTAATGTTGTTAGGGGGTTTTGTCCAATGTGGGATAGTTGCAGGAGGTGAATAGCCCGCAGCATTCTTCCGGCATTGAAGAATTTCTGAACGTTGTTCATCTCACAACGTTTATATTACTTGTGTCTGGACTCAGCAACAAACAATGTAAAAAGTACAAAAGCAAGCATCTTTGGCTGCCCAAAGAAGCAAACTTTGAGCATGAAATTGCTTAATCGCAGAGATATCAGCTTAACTATACATTATTCATAAATCAACTACACTAAAATCATTTTTATTTGTGAAGAAAAAAAAAATCGATTTCAGTCGCTGACAAATCGGTAAAATTGGATGAGCATGGAACCCACAATTGGAAACCCCAAACTACATGTGTTAACAGAGAGAGATAGAGAGAGAGAAAGGGAGGAGACCTTGGCGTCGCGATAGTTGATGATAACTTTTCCGGTGCCCTCCTGGAGTACAACACGAGCAATCGCACATTTCCGACGACCGGTGCCGATGATTGTCTGAGCCGCAAAGCCGCCGGGAAGCCTCGATTTCACGTATTTCTTGAGGTTTTCAGTCTCCACCACTTCCGTTGGAGGAGCTGCCGCGACGGAAAACACCACCAGACGAGGGGCACGTGTGGCGGCTCCGCACCCGTGCGAAACAGACACTGATTTGGAGCCGGGAAACGACACAATGCTGGGCTTCTGAGCTACGTGGGAGGAAAACGAGAGAGAGGATAAGGACGACGTGAGAGCCGTTATCGAAACCGCCATTTTTGCCCTAACGTTTCACACCACTGAGCCTGCTGCTAGTGGGAAGATGAAGGGGATAACGTTTGTAGTTCGATATGGGAGGATTAAGGGGATAACGTCTGCAATTGTTATTATTTCGTAAAATTGCACGAATGGCACCCATATTATTGGGCATTCGAATTTCCACCCCAAATAAAATATGATTAATGTCATGTCACTCGTATTGACATTAAGGGTTTATATCAACTTTGCCCCCATGAGTTTTTTAGGTTAGTTCACTTTGGTTCTATTTAAGTCATGCTGTTAAATATTCTAAACTATTTTAATTTACAAAAAAAAAAAAAAAAAAAAAAAAAAAAAAAGAATTCAAACTTAAGTGTTAAGGGACAAATTCGACGGAAACACGGTCCTTGACTAGTTGGCCTAATCGACATTTGCGTAGAAAAATTAATTTTTTTGGAAGGGAATTGAAACCTGTGAGATCCTCTATCACTAGTTATTCAACCATGCTATGTAAGTATTTTGGTCCAACTAGTTCTAAATTAAGTTCGTAAAGCTCACTCATTTGAAAGATAAGTTTTGGAAGTCTAAAAAGCGCTCATAATGTTATTAAAAGCGCTTTTAGTTGTCAGAAAACACTTTTAACTATGCCATAAGCAGTTTCAAATTGGTCCACTAAGGATGGATTTAGACGTCCTTGCTAGTTACTATTTGAAATTGTTCTAAATTTTTGGTTACTATAGTGAAACTTCGGGTTGTTTGGCGTGTCACATCGGTAGCCTAATAGATCTAGCACATGTAAGTGATTATCGAAGCCTCACCAATACGTGTTACACAAACGACGCATCTAACAAACAAGTAAGCGAATAGAGAGCGGGTTCCTTGGGGATTAGTGACTTGTCCTCTTGACAGTAGAAACCTCCATGATCACTTAAGTTCTGTTTCTATGGTCATTTTTCAAAAACGTTCACTTATGGCAGGAACCATGTTGAAAAACCAGGAGATTCAGTTGGCATCAAACATGCCCATCTTGAAAACTGCAGACTTTGTGTGGGCATGTGTTGGTAATAAAACCAATCACAAAATCATGTTTTAATCGATGTTAAGAAGCAACAGCCACCCAGCTCAGTGATCTATGTTGCATTTGGCAGCTTTACAATTTTGAATCCACCAATTCAAAGAAATGGTTCTGGCTCTTGAATAATCCGAGAGGCCATTCCTCTGCATTGTGAGGCCGGATTTCACTGACAAGGCAAGTACTCCCTACCCGGAAGGATATCAAGAGCGAGTAGCCTCTCGCGGTCGGATGGTTGGTTGGGCGCCTTAACAGAAGGTTGTGGCTCATCCTTCGATTGCTTGCTTCCTAAGCCACTGTGGTTGGAACACTACTTTAGAAGGCCTAAGCAATGGGGTTCCTTTCTTGTGCTGGCCATACTTTGCAGACCAGTTCGCTAATGAAAGCTACATTTGTGATGTTTGGAAAACCGACATCATCAGGAAGGAGAAATCAAGAACAAGATCTTCAAGAATTTTGTTGAATGGATGAAATCATAGGCGTGCAAGTGGAAGAGGTAAGAATTAATATAAGACTAGTGGCTTAGTTGATACAGTGATACAATACTATTTGCACCAAATTGCTCAATGTTCACATCTCTCACATAAATGAAATCTATTTAAATCTCAATTATTTCCGTCAATCGTGATCCGAAAATTTAATCTCCACACATTAAAATTCTACAATATTACATAATGAACAGTTCAAGATATATATACTTGTATTTGAAATTATTTATATAATTAGGGTTTATAGGTCGGACTGGCATAGCTAATAGGATGAAGGATGAATCAAATTAAAGAGTGTTGATCTTACTGATTGATAAACATTTGTACGATGTATAATTTCCGATCTTATATGTAACCAATCGAAATGACTCCTTGATTCGACTTTCGTGTGTCATTCAACTACAGTGATGGCCAACAAGGGTATCCAACTAGAGGGCAAACGCATTTACGAACCGGCAAAAAGCATACTTTTATTGGAGCTATTCGGAAGAAAAATAAAAAGAGGAGCAATATTTTCTCCCAGCTTCAATGTATAGACAAATGGTAGCTGATGAAGATGTGACAAAGATGATTGTTTGCATCTAGTCATGGTTGTGGGGTTTGGACCCTTTTTGAAATGAAAGATCATGGAAGTATCATCCTTCTTGTTTTAAGTGAAGTAAGAACAACACCAACAACAACAAAACCTTATCATACTAAGTGAGGTCGGCTGTATTTATCGTAGAACGTCACTGCGCTCAATTTTGCACATTTTTGCAAGGTATAATTCTTAAATGCAAACACTAGCTAGTACTAGAGCTAGCCTTAATAGAAGATGGACGCTTCCCAACAAGAGTAATGCTACAATTAGTCGGCCACATTTAGTTGTTGTCAGTCGTCAATACAAGTGAATCTCATAACGTAATGACAATTGACCTTATCCTCACGCGCGTAGACCCTCACTATTTCAATAATTGTCGCAATTAGGTTAAGAATCTACAAAGACTTAGGGCAAAAATTACTAAAATTTGGTCAACTAATTGCTACCAAAAAAGCAAACAAATGAACAAATATTAAAAGCGAGCTCTGAACTCCATGTTACCGAATTTATCGAAAAGCAACCGAAATTAGATTCACCAATATAATGAAGCCTGTGACATGGTTGCTCAATTTTTCCCTTAACCAGCAAAACCAGCACAGCATGCTGAGTTGCTGTGGACCTCTGCTCATGCTTTTGCACATGGTTTCCTTTTACAAGCTTAACACACAAAATTACACATAGCAGAAAGAACGTTAAGTAACATACAGATTTACTTACCACATGACACATCCAAACTGGCAAAGATGACATTACTGTCGTCTAAAGCGTTATTGATCAACTCATGTTACACCATGTGTATTTATTTAGCAAATTTGTACTCTAAGTCCATAATATATTAGTTTTACCGTTCACCCATATAATAGTACTTCAATTAGTAACACCACATAGTAATTAATACAACCACCACACCTAAAAAATTACATAGCACACGAGGCATCCAAACCAGCAAAGATGAAATTCGTCGGTGTGAATATTGTACATTAATGTTGGTAATCAATCTAGTCATGTTATATCACATCCATATATTTAATAACATTATATTCCAAGATGCGTGGATTAGACTAGTTGACTAGAGCAGTGTGTTCAATCCTTTGCACCAAAATTCAAATCCTCATTGAAATATGATTTTTTTTATACCAAACCAAAAGAAATTAGAAAATATCAACTTAATTGTCAATTCATACTATAATATATGAACTAGCAACATCTCTCGTGTCAGTGTGACCGCCACACCTTGAAATTTTTCCCAGGCAAAGACCCCTCAAATTTGGCTTTTGCACATGGGATTCTTGACTGTGCTGAGAAATAAAAACTTGCCACTATCATCACAAACACTGCATGCCACAAGGGGCACTGCTGTCAATTTCATGGAGATATTATGTGAAATATCTATCACATTCAAATTTGCTACATGCACCCATCCATCCCCATTCCTTTAATTTCTAGTGTAGTATCTCTGCGGTGACTGTCACCACCATCACCACCACCAACCCATACTGTCTTCCCACAGTTAATACTGACACATGGCTTTCAAGGCCTTCCTGTGAAAATGCCATGCCATTCACTCATGCATTCCTTGGATTTATATGTGCATATATAGATTCATCATATATATATATATATATATATATATATTGCTCTTTTATGATGAAAGGGTAAGACTACGTACAATAAACGTTTCTACTTTCAACCCTCACAAAACCGGAGCCTTATTGGCTTAGAGTCATCCTTTTTTGTTATTTTCTCTGCAATGCATATGTCTGTGTGGTTTGAAAATGATGTGTATGCAGTGTGTGCCTGCACGAGAGACATATATGGAGAGAGCCAGAAGGGATGTCTGGCTCTTGGGTGCCAAACAATTCCTGCAGTTTTTGTTTATGCATTTTAACGCAGACATAAAAGCAAAAACTCAGGAATAAAATATGATTAATATTCAAATTCAACCAATTTCAAGCAAAAATATTCCAAGGAGAAGGAAAATGATGATAAAAAGGGAAAAAGTATAAAACTTTCAGTCTTATTTAAGATAAAAATTACCTAAGCTAAGCTGTTTTTTAACGAGCGATATTTTAAACTACTCTAATCAACAAGAAAAGAGATCTAAAGATCGAACTCGTTCCTACAAGTAACACATTTTGCCACAAAAGATCTGGCAAAAAAAAATAGCTATTAATAATTTAGTTGAGCCTCCTTTGGTGGATGATCTTCAACCAAACAAAGCATGCAACATCTAAACTTCCAAACAAAAATTAAGAGAAAAATAAAGGAAAATAAAAAAACCCAAAAAACCCATCCTTTTCTTCTTCTTCTTCTTCTTGTTTTCCATTGACAAATTAAAAGATATGGAACGACTATAATGCAGCAGCAGCATTTTCCTTGTCACTAGATCCATAAAACTCGACGAGTCTCTGCAAAATCACGACCTGGGTCCGCAGCAGGACGATGTAATCCGCCGTTTCCTGGAACAATTCGTCGGCTTTTAGCGTTTTCCCGACGTGGGTCGGATTAACGAGGCTCTTCAGGGTCTCCAGCTTGGCGGAGACGGCCTTCAAACACCTCCGTTTGCGGCCGCCGTTGTTGAATTTTCTTACCGGAGCTCGACCCCTACGCGACACAAGTCTTCTTCTTCTTCCGGCGAGGGTGGCTTTGAGGTAATTTCCAGGAGCCGAGCTCATTATGTTTTTGTATGATGGAAAAACAGAGTCGCAGAGGGAATGTGAGGAGGAAGAAGAGGCCTTACGGGGGTTTAAGTAATGGAGGGTTGGTAAATTGACACTCGGGTTGTTGGTTACTACGAAAGTGCCATTTCTGGTTTTTTTTTCCTTTGTCGTTTAGCCATTTTCTTATGATTCTCGCAATTTTGACGATGTTTTAAACTACTCTAAATTATTAGTATTTGTGAATTTGAACTTGAGTGTAAGAAAACGGATACATTATCAGCTCACTAGCCTAATACTTAGCAAGTTCTCAGGTTCGATTCTTGCCAAAGTCGAAATTGAACCACATTATTATATTAAGCCCATTTTAAGATTTAATCCACTCTCTCACCCCCTTAGTGCAGATTCTATCGTTTGTTCAGAAAATACACCATAAGTTCTTGATGTCGAACAATCCATTAGAACTCAATGCAAGGAAATGGGTATACTTTTGAACTAACTATCGTAACACAAGAGAAATTTTTCTGTCCAACAAGAAGATCAAGTTGAATATTCGACACACTGCCTCACGAGAGATTAAACTCTTGCAGAAAGTGTGAGTCGTAAAGTCCACTCCTTAGACATGTTTGGAAGTTTACTTTTTTTGTTTACTAGTTTTATTTTGATTCTCTCTATTTTGGCCTTTGGCTTTGATGCATTTGGTAAAAGGTTGTGCCTTCTTCTATTTATTGAGCTATAATTGAAAGAAAAATAATCATGCGAGGAGCAAAGGACAGAAGGAAAATGGCAAAATGCAGATCTTTCCATTGAGGAGAGAAAGGGGGTGTTTTTGTAATTGCACCTTCAAGGAGTTGGCATCTCAATCAAAAGGAGAAAGCGGGAACACGGCACAACTTGCGAGCCACAAGGCAGAAAGGCTGCCCATCTGTAACGGCACATGCGAGGTCCAGGACCGTATAAAACCCTCGTTCCGAAAATACCCCTCAAGTTTGTTTCTTTGATTTTTGTGTTTAATAGTTGAGAAGCATTAACCTCTAATCAAGGTGTTCTTGTCTTTTAGACCAAAAAATACTGAAAATTGGTGCAAGTCTTACTCGGGGTGAACAATGCGTGTGAGTAGCTGTACATAATAAACCTTGTCCACTGTAAGTAAATAGTCAGTACAAATATTCGAAGCAAGCCAATTCATTAGGATTGGATCGAAAAATACTTAGTTCAATGCATCAGATGGAAGACACTATCATGTTAGACAACCAAAGCAACAAAGACAAATACGATACTATACCAAAGTCCAATGGAACAAGTTATAGAACATAGTGTATCGGGTGATCTAGAAGGTATAGCAAGACAACAAATTAACCTTCTCTTCTTCTCTCTACTCTTCACATTATTAGAAGACAAAGCTTGTCTTTTTATTAAGGTGAAGAAAGTAATTGGGTTGTTTAGATGACGATGAAGCTAATCAAGGGGTAAAATGGACATTTGGGGCATAAATAAATGTTGAAGTGTAAGCTAGCTAGAGAGTTGTATTGGGGGTGGGAGTGAGGCTGCATGTGAAGGTGATATGGGCCAGCAAAGCCCCCATCTGAGGGCTATGAAGGGGAGAGAGAGAGAGCACATGGGAAGCACATGCAGAAGAGGGAGTTTTGGGGGGTAGTTTGGGAGAGGGGGTAGGGCATGTGACAAATGAGAGACAGTGAGGCAGCATGAAATGTACAGCATGTTTTGCACATTCCCTGCATGGACCTGATCGAGTGGCAGCAAATGTACCTTTTCTCCTCTCTCTCCCCCTCCCCTTTTCCTTTTGAAAATAATAATATAATATCACAATGTGATCCCTAAAACTATACAAATCAAAAAGTAATTTACAACAATACATCGAGTGTTAACGATGAATTTCATATTAATGAAAAAAATAATTTCAAGTTTCTTCGTTCAAGTGAACCGATTTGACTTTAACTTACGATTCAATAAAATCTTACCGAAATCGGGTTTACTAATTAAATTTTATTATACAAATGCATGTTTAGACTTGGTTTGATTTTCAATCAGGCATGTGTGACATGTGTGTAAGCAGTGCACATGATGACATCATTCCCAACTGTACCTTGTCAACTGTTTAAGATTATGAAAGTACCATTCTCGTCAATTTATTATGCTAAACAGAAGATCTTGTCTTCTCTTAGGTGGACTTTTGTTGAACTACCCACTGCAAACTTCCAACAAATATTTAACTTTATCTATTTAATATGAAAACAATTGCTGTGTACTACAAGTTCAAAAGAATGGGTTCAAATTTTTATGAAGCTTCCCCAAATATCGAAGTTTAATCATTTTGTAGTTTATTTCTTTTAACAGATGAATCAGTAGTTTGATGGTTGAACGCAATTTTTTTTTTTTTTTGTGATTTTAGTGAGTTGTAAGTAAGCAAAAAATCTTCGTTACATGTAAGTAGCCAAGCAATCTTTCTTCCAAAATTATGTTTCACACCCTCTTCAATATAAACATAGACATAGAGGAGTAGACTTTGGATTGGAAGTGAGTTGGTCCAACCGCACTAATGGTTCTTTTTTTTTTCGTGTTTTTGTGGGTTAATTATAAGAAACTTGAGAGAGTAAAAAGTTAACTTTGTTTTGGTCTTTTAAGTTTGATGATCATCATGTGCTAATTACTTATAGGTCCAAATTAATGATATGAACGGTCATTCTAGGCTTCATATATATATATGAGCGTATTTATGTGAGGAAAATGTTTTTAAATTTGATGATCATCATGTGCTAATTACTTATAGGTCCAAATTAATGATATGAACGGTCATTCTAGGCTTGGTCCAAATTAATGATATGAACGGTCATTCTAGGCTTCATATATATATATATATATGCACGTATTTATGTGAGGAAAATGTTGCTCTTTTGTGATCTAAAGGTCACATGTTTGAGTCATAGAAACAAACTCTTTGCAAAATGAGGACAAGGCTGCTACGTTCTCTCCTGACCCTCACAAAGCAGAAACCTTGTTGGCGTGAAGTCACCCCTTTTACTTGTCATTGTGCTGATGATGAAAGGCATCTAATTGTTTAAAATTCAAATCCAATTATATCGGGAGAGAGATAGAGATTTAGATGTGATGTAACATCTTTTTTCTGGTTCATGATCGGCTGTACTTATCTGTATAGAGAGGACAGGTGAGTGAGTACTACTGCTCATGAACTAGCTGAGCAGATAGAGAGAGATATACATATATATATATATATATATATATGCAATATCATGTGGAGCTAGGTTTAAGTTGTTGATCACTTTATTCCTTTTGTTTTTGGGTCGGCAGAGGCTGCCATAATCGAACATGGCTCACTCACTCAATGCTTACCCTTTTTGGTCTAGTCAACCCACTTGCCTACATGCTTATGCCTCTCTTTCATCTCTCTATTTTATTTATTTATTTTCCCGCTTTTCCACTTCTTATATATATGCTCGACCCTCTTCAAGTATATGTAGATATATGCTCAAGTCAAATTAACCATTGTCGGCGCCTAATCCATAACCAACAAGTGAGGTTTTGATTGTTCTATGATACAATATATTCCGGATCATTCTAATTTACAGAGATGGTAATTCAAATTTAAATGTATAACGGTGGTATAATATCGATCCTACCCAATTGACTTAACCAACAATATTATTATTAATTTTGGTTTGAAAACTTAGCATTTATTTCATTTTCCCCAAAATTTTGGAAGTTCATCACATTACCAAAATCATGCATTTTCATCTTATTTTTTCATAAAAATTATATTTGATTTCACATCTTTTTCTAATTGTCAACCAAAACTAGGGTTTCTCTAAACAATGTAATCCTTTTTCCTTTGATTATTTGTTAAAATATATAAATAAATTAACAAAAATGAGGGTTTCAAGTTCAAAGTTCCAACCTGCATGCATGCATCCCCCCCTTGGCGGGTGAATCGGATAACGACCAGGACCAGGGGCTCCTCCTCAGCTAAGATGGCCTGCTCCACCACCCATCCCGACTTCAGTTCTAGTGGCTCTGCCGATACTGCATCTTTTTGGACGCGGGTTACCGAACCGACATAATATTCCGGACCTAAGAGTCTCAAATCCACAATGACCAAATTGGACCGGGTTCTCCACGAAAAACCTGAACCGGCCAAATGTAATAACCAGTTTTGCTCTCCCGCACATGGAGAACAAAAGAAAATGGTTGAGATTTAACGTTCATTCAACCACGTCGTTTGTAGAACAGTCTCACAAAAACATGGAACTTCAAAAGTGTTAGGCTAAATCAACAACGGACCAACAATTATTTAATACCAAATACCTTATTTATAGAAATCTAACTAAGAACCTCTCTTATAAAACAAAAATAATAAACTAAACTGTAAAACTAATAATCAAGATGTAACCCTCTCGAAATTTCTCACCTCGCTTCCACGTAGAGAAGGGTTGCCCAACGGTGATTTGCTGCTTTGTTGGGCCATTGGCGACCCCAAAACTATTACATAATTTTACATCAATGTCCCTTAATGCGGTTTTATTGTTTTTTGTTTTTATCGTTAATTTGCTACTTTTCTCTCCTTCCTCCCGGCCTCTGCCTAACTCCCCCCATTCCTCTGCTTCCAACTTCCATCAACGTTTCCGGGGTTTTTTTTTTTTTTTTTTTTTTTTTTTTTTTGCAGTGTTAATTTTAAATTTTGTATTTCATTTTCTTAATTCCCTGTTTTCTATGCCTCTTAATCTGATCTAATCAAGTGCTAGAAATATGTGCTTAGTATGTGTGTTGGAACTGAACAATCTGAACAGGAGAAAGAAAGAATTGAGCTTGTCTTGTTATATATGCATATATAAAAGGACGATCCCAAGTCAACATGACGCTTTTGCAAGATCGGGACAACATTTATCGTACACAGCTTTACCTTTACAAAGACCATGTTTCTACAACTCAAACCTGTGACATTTCAGTCACAAATGAGCAACATTTCTGTTGCGCCAAGGCTCGCCCTTGTTATACATATGTATATATATATATGTATGTATACATATG